TTCCTCGGACGGGCACTATGGGCTGATAGTGTCTCTCCACGGATGAACACTATCGCGTCATGTGATCAATTTAAACCAATAAGAATCGGAGGAAATTTAATGGTGAACTATAATGTTTAAATAGATAGTGAGTAGAGTAACAAATCAGAGAACAGCATTCGTGATAGAACGCTAGTACATTTATACTAAATATTTAAGAAATAGAAAACAAGTACCGTGTTTCTATCGAGTTATAGAACCACGAAACATCAATACCATCAAAACAAACTATGGTAAATTCAGCATTCGCTTCGCAGCTGTAAAAGTTTGGAATCACCTTGACGAAAGTATTAAACACCTCCCCCTTAAAACGTTTAAAAACAAAACCAAGCTAACCATCTTACAGTTTTACTGTTCATGAGTTTTCAACTGGTATTTGTTTATTTATTTTATTTATTTATTTATTTTATTTAGCTATTTATTTATTTCTTCTTTTCGTCTCTTTTTTATTGACTAATTAATCGCTTTCATCAAGCTTTAGTGCCAACCTACCTCCTATACTTAAGGTCATTCCGCTGAAATAGAACCTGCACTGAGATTTTTGTGAAACTTTGCATATCGATTGTTTATATTATAGGAACTTAAATTTTGAAATAAAAATGAAGGGTCCCCATGTTCGTTGAGGAGCAAAAGCACCTTGTTTATACCCATATAAATCCTTATAATAGCACCATGATTGTAGTTACGATTGCTTGCTAAATTCACGTTTCCGACAATTGCTTTTTGTTCTACACTGAGAATTGGTTCATATTTATTTTACACAGAGAAATTTATTACTCAATTCAAAACAACAGAAAGAAAATGATAGGTCACCATACTCGTTTGCGAGAAAATGACGATTTACCTCTATGGTGAGGTCCAGCTGTAAATTGGTTTTCTGAATTTACGGGCTTTCGAAACAAAAATTACACGGCTTATGACGGATTTACCTCAAGACTACCTTGCCATATAATAAAGATGGGCCTATTTCCGGACCGAAAGTGTTTCGAGAAAATCAAACGATCACAGACAATCATGACTAAAATACCACGTTCGTACATACGAGTAACATACGGGTACATACGAGTACATACGAGTACATACGAGTGACATACGAATACATTCGAGTAACATACGAGTACATACGAGTACATACGAGTGCATACGAGTAACATACGGATACATGCAGACACATACGGTAACATCCAGGTTATATATGGATTTTAAATGTACTTATGTTAAGAGAATAACCAAAATTTGCAAATTTGAAAGATAGTTAAACTGTTTTACCTTACTTGAGGAAAGGGAGAGGGGTCNCCCCCCCCAGCACCACCACCCCAATAAAACAGTTGCTGGATTTGGTTTCTTCAAAATAACAAAACTGTCACAGCCGCAACTGTGACCACAACACTGTTTTAGAGTGTTAGCAACTGCTGCAAAGTAGTTGTAAAGAACTCTCCAAAACTTAGGCACTTGTAACCCCGAAGGCTAACGATGGATGAAAGAAGTCTCAGCCAGATAAGTTGCCTGTTTTCATTACCACCAAGGAAAGAATGCATCACAATGGAAACATTTACAGAAAGGCACACAACTGTGTAATAGTCGCTATTCTACCTTAATTTATTAGCTAGTCTTAAGGATAAACTGTTCTTCTTCGGAATTTGTCCGCGTTACACTCGATACATATTTTCACGGATAGCTCAGGCTAGATGATGGAAAAATAGAGCAAAATTCCGCGCATTTAACGGAGCTGGTTTTAAACTGATAAAGAGTAAAATACAGAATCGAACTGGAAAGCCCAGAAATAAACGAGCCTTATCAGAAGTTCAACGCTACTAAGCAACAAGACTTAAAAATCGTCCATAAATATGGAGCAGATATGGTTAACTGCTGTTAAAACAATACAAAATGAGAGTTCCTAGAAACGAAGAAATCATATTAACAGGCTCTTTCGCATGACTTTAGGAGCACGATTCTTTCTTGTAATGCAGTCAAAATTGGCACGGTGTCGGTCACGTGACGAGGGACTTGAAAACGCTCTGCCACATTTCTCACAGGTGTAAGGTTTGGCTCCCGTGTGCATGTTGATATGAAACTTCAGTTCGTAAGACTGCGCGAACGCCTTTCCACAGTATTCACACACGCATGGCTTCTCTTTTGTGTGCGTGCGACGCACGTGGCTGTCATGTGCTGCGTGTGATGCGAATGCACGCTCGCAGTGCCTGCACTTGAAGGGCTTTTCCCCGCTGTGCTGACGGATGTGCGTCCGTAGAATGGAAGAAGCAGTGAAGGCCTTGACACAATGCGGACACTTGTAAGGTCTTTCACCACTGTGTACTCGCATGTGTTTGTTGAGACTGGATGACTGAGAGAAGCGTTTACCACACACTGTGCACTGGTGAGGGCGGTGTTTCTCGTGCACGTGAAGAATGTGGATACGAAGGCGATCCCGCTTGTCAAAGGAGCGGTTACACACTGTACAGGGGAACTTCCGGTCTCCTTGATCGACACAACGCGTGTATTTAAGGTGGCGGTCTCGGTAATATTTGTAGGCAAATACTTTACCACACCGTTCACACGAGTAGTCTGCTGGTGGGCCTAGAAAGGGGAAGAACAAAATTTAAGACATAAGCATTTTCATACGCATCATAGACTACGATTCAGGAGATTTTTTTTCTCAGTTCTAATGCGTTCTGGAAAAATTGACGGTGGCAACCTGTAACTGGTGCCTAATGTTAACAGATTAGCTCGCCCGTTGCTCTGGAAAGGCCCTCGTATGAAAGAAATTCCTACAAGCTTCGCTTCTACAATGATCATTTCCAAGCTTAAATTTTTCCCAGATCTCATTACCCAACCTACTTTTTGTCCTAGTCCCATTCCTATATTTTGGTTATGATTCCCAGTCCCCGTGATCCAAATCAGTCTCATTTTCCCTGTGAAAAAAATAGTCAAATCCAGGTCGCATCTTTTTCCCCAGGGCCGGGTTGTTCAAAAGCCGGTTAACCTAAATCCAGGATTAAAAGATAACCGAAGTATTAAATTTTCTTGTTTTTGATTGCTTATGTTTTGATTAGTTTGAGATTACTCTAGCTCAAAACTGAAGGACAAACAATAGAAACAGAAAACCCTATCGAAAAGTTACAAAACTGAAATCGAAATTCTCGTGTACTCATTCCGGGTTAGCTTAAGCGTGTTTTGAATTGTAAGCAATGCCAGAGCGTAACTGTCGGCCACGCTGTTTCAAGCAAGCGTTGGGTTGCCAGTTGGAAAATGATTCAATATCTAGTGGTTCAACAGCTGACTCGGCGCCACTGACAACCCTGGACTGAACGATTATTAATTTTAGTACTAAGGTGCCTTTCTTTGGAAAAATCTAAGTTCGAATTCTTAAATCCAAAAAGGAATTTACTTTTCTTTACTAAACAGATTAATTCAAGATCACTCTGATCATGATGCATTAAATGAACCGAAGAATCCTTGCCCGGAGTGGATTCTTCGGTTCCTTTGACGTACCATGATCCGAGTGATCCGGAATTAACCTGTTTAGAAAAGAAACGCAAAATCCGTTTTTCGATTTAAGAATCCAAAGATGGATTTTCCCAAAGAAACGCACCCTCAGTAACGTACACACGATATTTTACCTGTTAACTCATTTACTGGTATCACGTCCTCCTTCACATCAACAACGTTAAGTCCAGTGGGAATCCCCATTGATAAAGTGTAACATTTTCCGTACCAAACCAAGAGTTCTTCACCCATGAATATATCTTTACAGCATTGATAAAACAACTGGTGGCCATCTTGAACTAAAGTCAGGTTTTGCTCGTCGCCATGTCTTGCACAGTTAACAAACTTCATCCAGTTTTCTGTTTCGCTTTGTCCATCAATGTAATGGTTGAGGCTGCCGTTTTCACTGAACACCTGAAGGAAATGAAACAAAAACCTGCGTGTAAGAATTTACTGGATTAAGAACCTTTAAGGCAGAGTAATAAGGGCATTATTTAACATGATAAAACACGCTCTGTTGTTAAAAACTGAACTTGGCAGGTTGGGGCATCTCGATAGTCCCAATGGTTAACGTAAAACAGCGAGAACGTGCCGAAATCCACGCGTCTTTGCACGCGCACCAATCATAAGAAAATTAAGTTAGCAATTAGCACTGATTTTATGGACTGTTCCTTACAAATGCTCTCTAGCCACTTCTTGGTAAACGTGTTTCTGTCGTTGTCGACTGAAAATGAAACTCAAAGGCAAGTTGATCATTCAACAGTACACTAGTATCAAGGCCATTTAATCACCCGGCCATTTAACCACCCGGTCATTTAATCATGGAGGATTACCGTGCGGCACAAAATTCTTGCGGATTGTAATTTCTGAATTTTTTCCTTCATGATTTCACAAAAAAGTTCCTACAATTTACGATCGGTGGGAATTAGTGTTCACCCACATAGAAATTGCTTCTGTGCAAAATTAACTACGCAATAAATGTGCCATACAGTTGGTTCAAATATAATTCTATGGAGTACATGTGTAGGTTACCTCCCACATGAAGGCGGTGTCCTGTCTGTTTCCTATTTCTGATGGTTCTACAACTCTTCCTTCGTAAGGACCAAACCGTGTTCCCTTGCTAATGAATGGTTGAGAGCAGAGTACAGCATGATGGGTGTCTGTACTGAGAGTTGCTCCGATGAGCTGAAGACCCTCTGGCAGCTGAGAGGGAAGCTCAACCTTAAGCGGGACAGCTGGTCCGCATATAAACCGAACTCCTGGACCATTGCAAGCCTTATCTAGGGGGAGCGGAAGAAGATTATATTAGTATGTTTAAGAAATAATAATAATAATAATAATAATAATAATAA